GCCTGGGAATAAAGATTCTAATCCGCCCCACCCAAATGTTGAATGAAAGTTGTGTTTTATCGTTTTATTTTCTTTATTCACGTATTGTCTTATGTTTTGTCTTGCACTCCCCCTCCCATGAATTGTAAGCTGCCCTGAGTCCCCTCAGGGAAAAGGGCGGCCTATAAATGACAAATAAAATCTAAAAAAATCTAAATCTAAAAATCTTTGCGGGTGTCTCTGGGATCGGCAGGATATGCCCCTCCCTATCACCATCTGTTCGGGACGGTTTAGGTCCAGTTGGACTGTCCTGCGGCTGGAATTTCGGCGGTGGTCTCGGAGCCCCGAGATTGACTGTTGTGTCACGGCGACGTCAGTTTCCAGGCATCCATTTTTAAGGGCAACTCCTTGGGGCAGCGAACCCATCTAAAGGCAGGCTCTCCACCCCACACCCCTTTTGCCATGGCCCGTAAGTGGGCACACTTGTGCCAGAGCCCCATGTGAGTCTCTTGTGAGCTGGGTCTGAGGTCCCTCCTCCTGGCCCAGCAGAGACCCCCGGCCCCTTCCTGTTGTTGCCTCTGCTGGACTGTGGGCAGCTGTGAATGGGTTGCCCCCTCCCCTCCCTTCCCCACTGGAGGGGGCTGCCTTCTTTCCTCACAGGTGGACTGGGGGGAGGGGGATGTTGGGTCCCACGGTGACCACTTCTGGCATTGTGAGGAAAACACCAAACTCAAGGCCCTGCCACACACACACCCCCGAGGCCCACCATGGCCGCCACGGCTGAAGGAAGGGCCTCCGCTGAGGGAAAAGCTGGCCAAGGGCTCAGCTGCAGCTGGAGGAGTGGGGGACACGGGAGGGTCATCCCTATTCCTTACCCTGACTTGAGCTTACAGCCCTTGCCCAAACGCTTGCGGAGAGTCTGCCCTCCCCCTCCTCTGCTCCACTGGCGAGGGGTCCTCCCCCCTTCCACTGGCTTTGGGGGCTCCCCCCCCCGTGCTGCCTCAGCACTGTATAGCTAGCGTAGGGATTAAGAGCTGTCTCCTTCAAGAAACTCCCTCCTGGGAAATGTAGGCAGGGACTGCCTTATGGGAAACATAGTTCCATGACATGTGATCCCATCTATCCCTTCTGATTGGCCCCTGGGGCATTCTGTCTGGTTGCGGAGATTATAGCCGGTCATTTTAAATGCCTTTGGGAACCAGAGAAGTAATGTTTGTGTCTCCACTCAGCAAGGGAGCGAAATCGCCATCTTTTTGCACCACGTGATGGGAACAGATTATGGAAGGTCAGAAGTATCTTAAGACTGAACTGTAAGCTATTAAAAATGCCTGATAATAAACTTGATCTGAATGCGATTCCTAAGCGGGTTTTTTAATTGCATACCCCCCCACCCCCCCCACGAGCAGAGAGTCAGGAATCATCCAAAAATATTTATTGTACGGCCGAGTCAAACTGAGGGAAGCCCCCCCCCCAATTGCTCAGCATCCTTTGGGCCTCCCCACACCGGCCCCCGTCGCCCTTTCTCGCTGGCTGCTCCTCAGCGCAGGCCTAAGAGCAGCACCGCCAGGGAGGCATAGCAGAGCACGACTGGGGGGCCCACGGGGGCTCCTCCACTCTCCACGTCGGCCCAGAGGTCGTTGTGCTTCTCGTGCTGGGCGGAGGGGCCGACTGGGATCTGGGGCACACGGAAGGGGCGCCCATCGTGCGCCGAGGTCTGCTCTAGCCAGGAGTGGTAGTTGGAGATCTGCGTGTAGACGCCTGGGCTGTGGGCGGCCGCGCAGCTGCGACCCCAACTCACAATGCCCACTTGATACCAGCGCCGGGGGCTGCTGTGGCCGCTGTGGCCAGGTGGGAGACACATCAGGGGCCCCCCGCTGTCCCCCTGCAGAGGCGAGAGAAGCAGGGAATCTCAGAGGGGCTGGGACATGGGGGGAGGGAGGGCGGGGCATCCTGTGGGGCAGGATTGAGCAGGAATGCCACCCACACAACCCCGTGTACTGAGGGGGGTCCCTTCGACTCTTCTACTGAGCCCGCAGCCCTTGGGGGTGGGTGGGGAGACAAGGCTGTTGAGAGGGGAAGCAAGCAGGAGCCTCTGGGATGGAGAGGTGCCTGGGCTGGTGCGTGGGGCTGCCCCATGGATCTGCTGGTCCAGGCGCTGCTCAACCATCCTGGGAAGCAGCCGGTTTCCTTGGCAAGGAGTCTGACCCGGGTGACGGGAGGTCTTTGGATCGCGAGGCTGCCCAGCTCAGGGCCCCTCTGAGCAGCTGCTCCTCTGAGGCCGGGCTGGGCCATTGCTTGGGGTGGGGGACGACAGCCAAGGGGGTTCCTACCTGGCAGGCATCCCGGCCGCCCTCCTCGAACCCAGCGCACAACATGTTCCTGGTGAGGGAGTGCAGCCACCGCAGGCAGAGTGTCCAGTCCACCAGGGCCACCTGGATGTCCAGCAGCTCAAGGGAGCCGTACTCTGAGCCTAGAGGGGTCAAGCCGGGGGGCGGGAAGATGGGGGCAAGTGGCTTAGCTCTCAGCCCCACAGATTCTCCCCTGGGCAGTAGGCAGGGGACGGATCTGACTCAGGGGGAGGATGGGAGCCAGGCAAAGGGGTTTCCGATCCCTTCACAGGGAGCCACCTGTAGTGCGGGGGGAGGACACGACAGGTGCGCTTGTGCTGAGCACGGGAGGTTTAGAGGAACCAACGCCCCTGTGAGAAAAGGCCCCCAGGCCAAACGGGGGGCTTCCGGCTCAATGGTGATCCTTACAGCTGAACCCAAAATGCACGGGGAGACGGGACCGGCCTCACCCCTTTCCCCACCACCAGGCTGACCGTAGCCCCTTCCCCAAGGGGAGGAGAGGAGTCTGGAGGAGAGCAGGCAAGCAGGAGGGGCAGGAGGGGAGCCTTTGTGTGAGCCTGCCAGCAACAGTGGGGTTGGGCCCTGGGCGAAATGGGGCAGAGGCAGAGGCTGGCCCAGGGCAGCTGGTGAAGAGGGGCTTTCTCGCGTGCAGGGGGTGGGGGGTGGAACCAGACCCAAAGGGCCGAAAGGGACCGGATGGGAATTCAAGTCAGAAACTGGCAATAGGAGTTTTGCAGGAGAAACGGAACCTTCCCCCTCCCTGGGGGTCCTCAGACACACCCACCTCTGTGGGGCGCTCTGGTATTTGGTATTTTATTATTTGTATGCCGCCCTCCTCCGGGAGGACTCAGGGCGGCGAACAATTCAAAGGGGAAAGAAAGGGGGAACATAAAAGACAAATGCCTTTGATGAGCAGAAGGTTGGGCTAGATGCCCCTGGGTGCCCCCTCTGTGGCTCCACGAGGAGAGGGTCTTCCTCTCTGATGCCCACAGCCAGCTCCCCTCTGGGGCAGTGATTCTCAGCAGAGGGTGAGGCCCCCTGGGGAAGGCTGGGCAGAGCCTCCCTGCGAGGAGCACCGAAGAGAGGGGCAGGGCAGCAGGTGGCAGCCGTGGCCTCTCTGTGGGCCGTGCCATGCAGAAGCCCCGGCTGTGGGGCCAGCCGTGGACCGGGAAGGCCGCCAGGAATGGGAAGAGAGCTCCGCTAAAGGGCCCAGGCGGGCAGGGCCACGATGCGAGGGCCTCTGGTTCACTTCCGGGGGTGCCCAGGCAAAGAGGCGGTGGGGGGGCCCTTGGGTTCCTGCTGGGCTGCTGGGGGTGGGGGGGGGAGTGCCCGGCTCACCGGGTTTGGTGAGGCCCCAGCCGGCGACAAAGCAGCTGTCCCACATGCTGTTGTCCGGGACGACGTTGCGGTCTGGCAGGCAGAGGGCGGTGTGGAACCAGCTGTGGGGGATGGGGTCGCGCAGGAGCAGCAGCGCCAGGTCGTTGTCGTAGGTCTTGGGGTTGTAGAGCGGGTGGAGGTGGATCTTCCGCACCCAGCGGGTGACGTTGTTCCTGCCCAGGTAGTTGCTTCCGGCCGCCACCCTGATGCCTTCCCTGTATGGGGGAGGGGGGAGGGGGGCAAGGCAGGTGAGTGGTCAGTTGGGGGGGGGCAGACACAGGAGACGGAGAGTGGCAGCCAGAGCCTGACCCTTCCTGGCACCGAAGAGCCCCAGAAGCTCTTCGCCTGCTAGGGGGCAGCTCTTCCGCCGTGGGCACGGAAGACTGGCAAGGAGGGTCAAGGAGCATCGGCAGCCGAGGGGGGGGGTCACTCTAAGGCAGTGTTTTTCAACCTTGGCGACTTGAAGATGTCCGGACTTCAACTCCCAGAATTCCCCAGCCAGCGAATGCTGGCTGGGGAATTCTGGGAGTTGAAGTCCGGACATCTTCAAGTTGCCAAGGTTGAAAAACACTGCTCTAAGGGGTCTTTACATGTAGGGGGGCTTCCAGGCAACAAGGGGGACTGAGAAGGGCTGCCCCGCTTCGTGTCCTACTGCCCCCCCCCCAGATGCCCCCCCCTGACCAGTTACCTTCTGTCCGTGAAGCAGTGAGCGGCAGAGAGCACCCACCAGGGGTGAACGATGCTCCCCCCGCAGAAGTGGAAGGAGCTGGTCTGAATGCTGACCACCCAGGGCCATTTCCCAGCAGCAGCCTTCGTGCCCCCCACGATGCGGGCATTGCCCAAATGGGCGGCATGGGGCGCATCAAACTCAGGCCGGTAGCCGCAGCCTAAGAGTGAAAAGAAGCCCCCGTGTTTAGGCGGCCACTGCTCTCCGTGTCCCTCCCCCCGCTGGACTCACTGGGGGTGGGGGGGGCTGGGAGGCCCTGCCAGTCTGTCCCAAAGAGACCCCACTCTCCCGGCGGAATCGGAGCCCCACGGGACTCCTCTGGGCCTTTGGAGGTGGCTTTGACTTAGCAGCCCAGCATGGGGTCTCCGGGCCCCCCTGGGGTCTCCAATGGGACAGCCAGGCCTGCTGACCCTGGCTGGGTCTGCCCCAATAAGCCTCTCTTTTGGGGGGGGCATGGGCCGCCTGGGCAGCCACGGGGAGGCCAGCCTTCAGCCTCCGCTGCCCCTGACATCACAAGTCTGTTGCGAACTCAGGGGGGTGAGAAGGGCTGCCCTCCACCTGCTCTGCCCTGGAGGGGGCGCTTCTGCCCCCCCGCAGGGCCTCCGCTCCCCTCCCCTCTCCAAAATGCCCCCCTGGCACCTTGTGCGCGAGCACAGCTCCCTCGCAGCAGGACCAGGCACAGCAGCAGCACCACCGGGGAGTCCATGCGGCACTCCAGAGCCGGTGGGCGTGCCCTATGCGTGTGGGCGGGGCTCGGGCCACACCCCGTAGAAGCATCACAGAGCTCCAGGTGTTGACCTCACGGGGCAGAACCGCCGCCCTCCTTGCGGCCCTTCCACGGGTGGGGGGCTCTAGGCCCAGAAGGGGGGCCTGCAGGGGGGGGGGGCGGGCGGGCTCCCTTCAGGCCATCGCTGGCGCCCCCTGCCGGAGGCAGCCGAGAAGAGCCGTTGCGCGGCGCCCACCACAAATCCTTGACGGGGCGGCTGGCAAGGTGCGAAGCGGCGGGGTTTCGGCCAGAGCGCCGTAGCCGATTATGGGCACCGGAGTGAAGCACACAACGCCCGCCCCCCCCACCCCCGCATGCCCGCAATGGGTGGGGCAGAGCAAAGCGCCGCCGCCCCGTCCGGCTAGAGCGCCTGAGGGGAAGCAGGTTCCCCCTTCCAGGAAGCGGCCGGCGGCGGAGCTGGTCGAAGCAGGAGGGCCGGGCGGGCAGCGGGCAGAAACCCTTGGCCGAGCCCCGCTCTCCTCCGCGCTTGCTTGGGCGCCAAGAGGCCGGGCACGAGCTTCTCCCCGTGAGCGGCGTCGAGTCGCCGCGCCCGCCTGGCTCAGCTTCTGCCCGGCCGGCGCTGGCGAAAGTTGTGGAGGCGCTGGAAATCCCCCGGCGGCTGGGCGCCTTTCGCTTTCGGTCTCGGGCAGAGCCGGCGATGGCGGCGGGCGAGCGGAGCGTGAGCTCCGACCTCCGTTTCACCCAGAGCCGCTGCCCGCTGGTGCTGCTGCTCCTGCCGCTGGTGTTGCTGCCCGCCCGGCCAGGTGAGGCGCCCCGGCGACGCTCTCGGGAGCCCTGTTCGGGGGGGGGGGGAGGCGTCCCCGTTCCCTCTTGTCCTGATCGCCGCTCTCCCTTCCGCAGCCTCGGGGAACGAGGGGGCGGCCGCCGGGAGCTGCCGCTGTGACAAGTACCACACCGAGCCGGAGCTGGTCAGGCGGTTCCCCGACCGCCTGGTGAGCTGGGAGCGCTGCGGGCGCCTGATAAGGTGAGCCCCGTCCCCACAGCCCTCCTTTGCCCGCCGGGAGTCGCGCCTGGCTGCCAACTGCCCCCCTTTGCCCTCCTCTTTGCCAGATTCAGCTTCCCCAAGAAACTGGTGTGTGGCTGGGCCGACGAGCCCTGGGTGCTCCGGCTTATCGCTCGGATGGAGGACAAGCGTGAGTTTTCCCCCAAAGGGTGGGGAGGGGCGGGAAACAGCCGCCCCCCCAGCGCTGCAGAGGCATCTGAGAGGGGCCTCATTGCCTGCCCTGACTGCTAAATTAATTACAAGACTTCAAAACCGTCCCTCCCTCCCTGTCTCCCCCACCCTCTCTGTCTCTCCCCCTCTCTCTCATACACCCACCCACCCACCCAC